ATCGATGTGGGACTATTTCTCAACTTAAACCTATAAAGCTAATTCTCATTCAATGGCTGGGAAACAAGATTTCCCTTAGTGGATACCCTTTTTTTTGGGGGGGGGACTAATTACTATAATAATAAGATTCCCAAATTGATTCAATTTAAATGGTTTAATTTTACCCTATGTCCTCATTATTTAAACTTTTGATTTTAGTCTCGAGAAATCAATTCCTCTACTTTAGTTTTTAAATGAGTAGAGGGACTAGATTCTTAAAATTTAAAGGCTTAATATTAATTTTTTGGTACCTTATTTTTTAGTCCATTTTGATAATGAAAATTATCATTTTTTTTTCAATTAAGAAAATGGATTGGAATGTCAGCCATGAGAACGTGATGGTAACATACAAGTGGCATGTTGTTATTGGTTATATTGCAAATTTTCAAAAGTTGCTGATGATTTTGGGTAAACGATAAATTATAGTTTTAAGTCTCAAAGTTGACTGAAAAAAGGATAGGGTAAAATACACCAGAGGTCATTGAATCATGTCAAAGCGATAGTTTTAATCAACATTGTATCAAATGTTATAAAATGATGATTAAACTTATCTAACTGTTGCAAAATTGTCTCCATAACCTTACACATAGTGATAAAGCTGGATAAGTTTAAGGACCATTTTGTAATAGTTTGATAAGTTTAATGATAATTTTGTAATTGTTTGGAAAGTTCAATAATCATTTTTTATGTGAAAGTTCATTGAGAAAAAGAATATAGCTCTGGTGTTAAACTGAGTAGTAAGCCAAAAATAAAGTAGTTAAATTTAAAAAATCCCAAGAATATAAGGACCGAGGCATAATTAGACCGAAAAACTATGGTCAATGGTCATGGTTTTTATTTTCCAGTTCAACGCATTTACTTCATTGATAATACTAACTGCATTGAACACGGCAAGCAATCTTGGAGATGTCTTGGAAATTGTCAAAACGTGTCCAAATCGGACATGAATTCTATATAATATAACATTTAGTCCCTAAATTTATCAATTTAGTCCCTAGATTTGTCAATTTGTCCCAACTGAAATAAACAAAAATAAATACGAATAATATAATATTGAACAAATGAAAGCAACAGCCCCAAGAAGTCAAGCATGTGCCCAAAGAGGAAATCATCAAAAACCAGTTGCAGTTTCACAGTTTCACAGTACTGTTAGAGAGAAATGAAAATGGTATGGCAGCTGAGAAATTCTTGGATGCTTATGATTTTGATCATACAAGTCATTGGAGTTAGGTTGTACATCGTCGAGGCCGAGCCTCATCGGATTCTGTTGGATACCGATGTCGATACCGACGACTTCTTCGCTCTGCTGTACCTCTTGAAGCTCAACAGATCAGAGTTTCTATTGGAGGTGAACTTTTATCTTCTGCATTAGGAAAATTATTTTGCAGCGATATGAAATCGGATTTTGCAGGCAATCACCATCAGTACAAATGCATGGACTGATGCCGGGCATGCGGTGAATCAAATTTATGACATACTTTACATGATGGGGCGTGATGATGTCGCGGTCGGAGTAGGTGGAGAAGGCGGTATCATGGAAGACGGTAACATACAACCGAATGTCGGTGGATATCTTCCGATTATCGAACAGGTACTAGGACTCGAGTTTCGGTTTCGGATAGGACTGTAACTCTGTAAGTGTGTATGTTGAGCTTATGTATTTGTAATTTGCTTACTAGGGGATGACGACGTCCGGAGGTTGTCGATAGGCAAGCGATTCCGGTAGGCCTCGGAGGACGATTAGATATCGACACAAACTACGGCATCCAAAAAGCATTCCTTCCACAGGGCAGCCGGAAATATACTCCTCTTCGACAGCCTACCGCTCAGCAAGTGATGATCGAAACAATATCTAAAGGTCCAATTAATGTTTTCATCACAGGAGTTCACACAAATGTTGCCATTTTTCTCATGAGTAATCCACACCTCAAGAAAAATGTTGAGCACATATATGTCATGGGTGGTGGAGTGAGGTCCCAAAACCCGACGGGATGCTGCCCTGGGAACGGTAACTCGTCGTCTTGCCAGACTCGGCAGTGCGGTGACCGCGGTAATCTGTTTACAGACTACAACACAAATCCTTATGCCGAGTTTAATATTTTTGGAGATCCTTTTGCGGCATATCAGGTAACTGAAAGAAGTTGATTTGTTAATTGCTTATGGATCTAGAACTCTGAGAGTGTAACATATGTTTGCTAATGTTGTAGGTGCTTCATTCGGGCATTCCGGTAACCCTCGTTCCCCTTGATGCAACGAACACCATACAGATAACCGAGGAGTTTTTCAAAGCATTTGAGGCGAACAGGGGCACCTATGAGGCTGAATACTGCTTTCAGTCATTGAAAATGTCTCGTGATACTTGGTTCGATGACCAATTCTACACGGTAATGCTAATGCTGTTAGTCAGTGTTTTAAGAATCCGTGTTATGTCGCGTTAATGTCGCGTTAATGTCATTAACCGTGGTGTTTCTACCTCCTGCAGAGCTATTTCATGTGGGATTCCTTCATGTCCGGTGTGGCAGTCTCGATCATGCGTAATTCGCACAAGAATAACGGGGAGAATGAGTTTGCAGAAATGGAATACATGGATATAACTGTAGTTACATCGAACAAGCCTTACGGAATATCCAATGGCTCCAATCCATTCTTCGATGGCCTTAAAGTTCCGAAGTTTAAACTGATGAAAGGTGGAGTTCATAGTGGCCATGTCCAGACCGGTCTTCGAGATCCACTTTGCTTCGTTGAGAACGGAAAAGGGAAATGCGAGGTAACTCCATTGTCAAGTTTTCACCAGAGCAACCCTTTTGTACATACATACATACCTTTTACAACTATCTAAAGCATTATGACCAAATAGGATGGTTACACAAAGGAGGTGACCGGCCCGGATGCAGTTCGTGTTCTCGTCGCCACAAAGGCAAAAGCCAATAAGGACGTCAGCAGCAAACTTGACCGAGAATTCTACATAAGTTTTCTGGATGTATGTACGATCGGAATGCCACATTTTACTCGAACTTGTCCGATATTTATGGATGACATGTTATAAACATTGCTGGAGCCTGGAATGCAGGTTCTAAATAGTCCAGTACGTATGGGGCGGTTCAATCGTACTACCGAATTTCCACATTACAGAGAAGTTCTTTTCAAACCGGATTTTAGAAACAAAATGTTGGGGAAACCAGTCGTTTTCGATATGGATATGAGTGCCGGAGATTTTGTAGCTCTATTTTATCTCCTCAAAGTACCTGTGGAAGTGCTCAACCTCAAGGTAACTGGTTTCAGTTTCATCGGTTTCGGACTTCCGTTAAATGATTGCATTAAGATATATTACACACTGCATTCTCCTTATCCAGGCAATATTAGTGTCTCCGACCGGTTGGGCTAATGCTGCAACCATCGATATAATCTATGATGTACTGCACATGATGGGCCGTGATGACATTCCGGTTGGTCTGGGAGATGTATTTGCAATGAATCAATCAGATAAAGTTTTCCCTCCTGTTGGAGACTGCAAATATGCTAAGGCTATCCCGCACGGAAGTGGTGGATTCCTCGATTCGGATACTCTTTACGGGCTAGCTCGGGAGTTACCACGAAGTCCTAGAAGGTGTTTCACTTCATCCTTGTTCTCTCTTAACTCTATTTCTTGTCTGAAAAGCTTAAAACCGAACTGAAAGATGTCGGTTTTCATTGCAGGTATACTGCGGAAAACTCGGTAAAGTTCGGAGCTCCAAGGGATACTGATCATCCTGAATTGAGGCAACCTTTGGCACTGGAAATTTGGAACTCAATATTGAGAACTTTGGATCCTGGATCCAAAATTACGGTATTGACAAATGGACCTTTGACTAGTTTAGCCAAGATTATAACTCAAACAAGAACAGCTTCACTGATCGAGGTACTTGGATTTCGGAAGTTGATCAACCTTTTCCCGAAATCTAGTTTTCCGTCGATATTAAGATTTTTCAATCGCTTGTAATTACAGAATGTGTATATTGTTGGAGGACATATCAGCAGAAGTCGCCTCAATATAGGAAATGTCTTCTCTATTCCTTCCAACAAGTACGCCGAATTCAATATGTTTCTTGATCCGTTTGCCGCGAAGACGGTCTTCGAATCGGGGCTAAACATCACACTCATTCCTCTCGATACTCAACGCAAAGTCGGTCGGTTTCCAGAGATACTTGAGAGGCTGCAGTTGACCAGGAAGACTCCTGAAGTTCAGTTTGTCAACCGTTTGTTGTTCCAGCTACACACATTGCAGCAAACTCATCACAGATATCACCATATGGTAAAGCTCAAAAGAGCTTAAATCTAATCGGTTTATGCTTGATTTCTTGTGCCACAAGTAATTACAAAACCGAATTTAATTGCAGGGTACATTCTTGGGCGAGATTCTTGGTGCAGTGTTCATGGCCGAAAATCATCACAATCTGAAATCCACCACGGAAGAAATAGCCATTAAAGTCGTTGCCGAAGGTGTTGAATCGAAGGACGGCAGGATTTTAATCGATAAAAAACGGGAGAGAGCAGTAAAAATATTGAAAAATGTCGATCATACGGCCTATTACAAAATATTTGCCAATAGATTGGCTGATGAAAAACAATCTGCTGCATTAGGAAACTATGATGAGCAGAGAATAATGTGGAAAACACCACCTAGTAGAACTTAAAACATTCCGATCATGAATCGGATTTTCGATTCCCCGAAGAACAGAATGCAAGTTTTGTTTCATGCTAGTGTTGTGGTTATATTCATATTGCTTCGAATAAAGTTCAAGATAAATGAAGATGCCGTAGGTGTCATATGCATACTCATATCCGACAGTCACATTCTAATCCGAAATATTTTTTCATTCATCAAAGTCTTACATACAACCAGACAACATCTGATCTTTTATGTCGGTACAGAACAATATTTGCTACTTCAGAATACCACTCAAAATTCCTGCTTTTTTTTCTCTTCAGCTTTGATGGTCTTCAAAAATCCATTTCGATCATCGGAATCGATCCACCGGATGCGACAATCTGTTGCTCTAACTGCAATAAGAAATGAAACCCACTTTTCTCAACTGAAAACCGATCATTAATGAACGAATCAATTAGCAAAAGCTAGGGCTCTTAAGTGCAAACCCTGAACAATGTTTCGAGCTTGTTCTTCACCAGGTAGCACTCTTGTTTCACTTGTTGCAGACATGTTCGGCACCTAAAATTATAAGCTTTCATAAATTTCGAGTAAAAAAGAACAAAAAATGAGAGACTTGAAGTAACTAAGTTCACCCTTCGATGTTCTGCACCTCGCAGAAGTTGCGGAAATCTACACAAGCGTTTTTAACCCTTTGTGCACCTATGCTGTTTTAGAACACAGACAAGAACAATGAGCATACACAGCCGAGATATAAGGGATTCTCGGTCCCTGAAGGAACCGAGTGATAGAAGTTCCACAAATTCGAGATTCGATTACAGAGAGCATATCAAGCGAAAGTGCAGTGACATTTGCAGCTCAGGCATGCTAAATAGAAAAACATATCAAGCGAAAGTGCAGTGACATTTTTAGCTCAGGCACACTAAATAGAAGAACAATGGGAGCATGCAGCCAAGACCGTATGGGGTTCTATGTCCCTGCGGGGATCGAATGACGGAAGATTCGCGAATAGATACAAGTGAAAGTGCAGTGATATATGCAGCTGAGGCATTCTAAATAGACAGGTATGCTCGAACCTTGTTCCGACATGATCCGGATCAATTCGACGAGGCACTCGAATTGTTCTAAAGAATCAAACAACCAATTACATGAAGGCTTGTGAAGGGGATTTATAAAAGTACCTGGAACTGCTACCTTTCAATTGATGAACATAGCCATCAACTTTTTTAAAGTCAACATTTGGCTGATCTCTGCAAAAGGAAACAAAACAACAAGAAAAATCAAACACTAATCTCAGACAGCTATGACGAGTTATGTTGTTTCTTACAAAGCAATGGTGAGTTCATTGAGAAGTTTCTCGGAATCATCAAAGAAAAGTGAGACAACTTCAACAACAAAATCTGGGTTGCTCTCATCTTGAAGCTGCTGAAGCTGTAAGAACTGGCTGTCCAATAAACCCTTTTCTCGGTCCACCACCACCAACAACAACAAAACAAGACAAATCAAACACAAAACGGAGATTTTTGTTAACAAATTTGTATGTCTTAAAGTTCCTGTCTTGTTCTTTTTGGAGGGAATTACCTCCATAAACAAGGATTTTGTGAAGTCCACCAATCTTCTCTGAATCTGAACCACTTCCATTTCTCACTAATAAAAAAGGGTGCAAATATGAGTATTGACCCGACAACGATGAAAGCCTGTGGCTTACGATTTATAACTCTGTGGGAAGGAATTATAGCACAATCTAAACCCAGAAAACATACAAACAAACAAATAAAAGGGTATAAATGCTTTCTACAAACCTTTTAGAAAGTGATTTGATATTCCATTAATTTGATTTCTTTGGAAACAAAAATCCAAAGCCTTTTTTGTATTGTTTAGAAAGTTGTTTTATATATGAAAAATCAGTATATAAAACACAGGCCTTAATTATAAAATAGAATAAATTACGTGTTTAGCGATTAAATTATCGGTCACAACTCCTAAAATTTCTTATTATAACCACATTTACTCTAACCGCCGGTCACTTCTGATCACCCATTCGTCGATTACCGACCACCCATACGCAGGCTCGTCCCTGAGCATGAGAACACTTCAATGGATGACGTTTGTAATATTAGACACTTGAATAAGTAAAAAAATAATTTAAGTACATATTTAATAATTTAGGTATAGTTTGGACACTTACTTTAATATTAAACCCTTCATGATTTCTTTGAAAACAAAAATCCAAAGCTTTTTTTTTTTTTTGTCTTGTTTAGAAAGTGGTTTTATATGTAAAACATAGGGTAAACTATGAATTTTAATACTTACACTATTCCTTTTCATCTATTTTAGTACTTCAACTTTTATTTTCTTAAAATTATATCTAAAGTTTAGTTTTTATTTCATTTTAATACCCTATCGTTAAAAATTTAACGCGTTTAGTACATAAACTATCAATTTTAGCCCGTTTTAATTCTTAAACTTTCTATTTGTGTCAAAACTTAACATTAAATTTTTAATAGGAGTACTAAAATGAAACAAATCGTTGGGATCTCAATAGTTGGTATCTCACTCAGGGTTTCAAATCGCGGTCGTGGTCGCGATTTCTGTTATTTCGGATTTACCGTGATTGCAGCCGTCGCGGACGCTATTGCGGCCGTCGCGGGTAACTCGGACGGTGGCGAAACCGCTATATCGCGGCCGAAATCGCGGTCGCATACCGTTTTTTAAAACCCTGATCTCAATAAGTCCGTCTTTATTTGTAAAAAAATTAACCATTTCTTAGAAAATAAAGTTAAAAATAATAGTTTAAATTTTAAAATAAATTAAAATATTTTAATAGCAAAACAAAAATTATCATAATTTAATATTAAAATCACGCACGAGTTGAGTGACATTCGTGGCAAATAAATTATTGTTATTACTTGAGGATTCGAGTTTGAGTACCATAAGTGTTAAGGGTATCAACGTTCAATGTTGATAGATTAATAATTTATCTTTAAACAAATATTATCTTGTACTTATATCAGATTAATAAAAAAAATTAAAATCACGACTTGAGCTCAACTTGACCGCAACATCTCTATCGATAACAACACAAAATAAAATGGTCCTGCAGAGGATTAAGAAAGTGAAACATCACATTTCTATTTTTTATTTTATTTTTTTTAATAATAGCACGTTTTATTCGAGTTCGAAATAATCGAAATATTTGACCGACTATCTCATGTTATGTGGCTAAAATCATCAATACCGACCACCAAAAACAAACTATTCCAAAAAGAATATCGACAATAAATAGTTATATTTAAGGGTAAACTACACAAATGCTCATTAGTATTTGATTAGGTTTACGTTTTCCCCACTAAAGTTTCAAAAGTAATAAACTAATCGCTAACGATATCGATTTGTAACAAAACGATCACTCCACCGTCATCTCCGTTAAATTGATGATGCGGCAACATTAACAGAAAGGTCCTTGAACAATGATTTATATCTAATTTACCCCAAAAAAAAGTTGTCTATGTGCATCTAGAAATGATTGACCACTAAAAGAATATGGGACATTGCTTTTAGCTGAAAATTCCATGCCATCATGGGTTACGTTGGATACAAATTCCATCCATTAACCAAATTAATAAGATCGAATCCGATTTTCTTTCGATTGATGTTCGAATCATCTACAAACAATTCGGTTTTCAGACGGAGCGGAGAACGAAATCCAGCAGTAAAACAGCTTCTCCTTCATCAACTTCGATTTCGGACAGAACATTGACAGGTCTCGGGAACCTTATCAAGCTCCTTCCGACCGGAACCGTGTTCGTATTCCAGTTCCTTAACCCTGTCTTAACCAACTACGGCCATTGCAGCCCTGTGAACAAGGTCCTCACCAGCATCCTCATTGCCCTTTGTGGCTTCTCATGTGCTTTCTCTTGCTTTACGGACAGTTACGAAGACGGTGACGGCAGGGTTCATTATGGTATCGCCATCGTTAACGGTCTCTGGCCGTCTTCGGGTTCGGTCGGGTTATCCAAGTACAAGCTGAGGGTTGGTGATTTCGTTCATGTGTTTTTCTCCGTCATTGTGTTTGCTGTTCTGTCCCTTTTGGATTCCAACCAGAGTTTCAAATCGCGGTCGCGTTTTTGGTTATTTCGGATTTACCATGATTGCGGCCGTCGCGGGTAACTCGGACGGCGGCAAAACCGCTATATCGCGGCCGAAATCGCGGTCGCGGACTGTTTTTTAAAACTCTGATTCCTGATACCGTGCAGTGTTTCTATCCGTCTTTTGAGTCCACCGAGAAGGTTCTGCTCATGGTTTTGCCGCCGGTTAACGGAGCGATTTCGGGATCGGTTTTCGTCGTGTTTCCGAACACACGACATGGTATTGGCTACCCTTCGACTTCGTCGAGTGATGTGTAGGAGAACTCATCGGACGGCAACTAGAATGGATTTGCTTCGTCGTTAACTAATAAATTAACCGGTTATTTTGCTCGAGTAAACTTTTTATTTGTTATTTTGAATTTGTTTATTTGGATCAAATTTTAATTGTTTTATAATATGGTTTTAAGTGTAAAATGTTTGATAAAATTGATTTATGATGTGATACATAAATTTATGTATATAAATTAAATTATAATTATAATTAATTATATATAGAAATTAATTTTATCAAAGATTAACCACGGATTTTGACATTATACCAAAGAAAAAGACTCAAATTAGCAAAAAGGAAAAAAAAGGCTCACATTAGCAAAATGAAAAAAGGCTCAAATTAGCAGTAAGAAGAGATGAAATAGCATCATCTTGCACCATAATGCAACTCAATAGTCTAAAACTCTCAAAAGGTATAACTCAAATGGATTATTTCAATTTCAAATGGAGTCCCACAAACATTCATTATTTCATAATTCTCGACTTCCGATATTAAAAGTTTAAGAGCGAGCATAACGTACATTAATACGCCGCTGGACCGGACTCCTACACGACGGGCAGTCTTTCATGCCCTGCTTCTCGTGAAGCTCGTTGCACGCAATGCAAACGACCTGGTGAGCACACGGGATAAACACCACCGACATCTCCTCCAAAAGGCACATCACGCATTCCCGTTCGCGTTTCACGACTCCTTTCCCCGAGAACTCGTGGAAATCTATCACTGTAAGAGGGGTTCGGGGTTCCTTTTGACCTGTACAGTGCCTGTTATCCGTAAACTTTCCAGCATAGCTTCCGTCGATGCCCCTTCGAAGTGCAGCAATTTTTGAAGAATCTGTCTTCAGTCTCAATTGAGAGATTTCCTTTTCGAGTCTCTGAATGTCCTCTTTGTATTTCTGCAAACTAGTTTCTGCTTTTGACTTCACCATCTCCTCTTTTAATTTCGTTGAAGCCTCGATTTCTTCTCGTTCCTTTCGTACTAAGCAAGCGTGAGTAAGTATTTCTTCCTTCGCCTTTTCTTCTTGTTTCAATCTAGCCTGTGATAGTTCCCCTTTTCAATGAGAATAGGACAATAACATATAAGCCATAATCATAAGAATCACCCACAAATAGCCAAAGTTCATCTTCTTGAACAAACAAGCAGCATACCTCAAAATCCAGATTCGCGGTGGCTTGAAACCGTAATTTGATATGTTACATCCAATCAATTCGAGGTAAAAAAGGGGGGAAAAGAAATATTCTCAAAAAAAGCTAGAAAATTGTGGGAAAATGTACAAGTGAATTGAATATGCTAAAAGATAACTCCACAAATGTTTAGGATATAATGAGAAATTAGTGCTAGGATGTATCGAATATTAGTTTCTCTTGATTTTTTTATTCAAAAACTTTGACATCAAAATCCAAACAAAAAAATATGTAATAATAAATAATTTAACAAGAAGAAATTTAAGAGTAGAATTGACCTGCAAATCAAGAACAATTTAGGCAATCTATACTATTTTGGCATGTCATACAATGGATTATCTGAAATCCCCGGTCTTCTATTCTTTGAATTTGTATTAAACTTTTACTAGCAAAAATATAAGCCTATTACAAGCAAGTGCACGATATATATGTGTTTACCATATCCATTTGTCATCTCAAAGGAGTTCCCCAATCATCCGCTGCACTTATTATAATGCAAAAGTAACACCTAAACGAAATAAAGGACACCAAGAGACTTCCAAGCCAAATAAATTTAGATCCAACACTTGGGGGACTTCATAAATGGTGCCAAATCATCATAGAACTTTTCACGATCTCACAAATGAAATACATTACCGAGCAGATTGGCAATTTCTTCTGACAATTCAAAGTCTATAACATGCAAAATTTACTAATTATACTCGGGTTGATTATCAGAAATCTGAATTCACCTACGTCAAGCAGTGGATGATTTCCTCACTAAATCACATTTTCACGAAGCGAATTTGTGGAGAGAAAGTAGAGGTAAAGATATGCTTGGAAATTGAACTTTCATGAAGAAATACCTCAAGCTGTTCTTGGAGAACTTTAGCCTGCTGTAATTCCTGTTGTTTCTGGGCAACCTTGCGTTTTTCGGTCATGAGCTCTTCCTGGAGTAAAGCTTTCTGCTTCTCCCAAGACTGAACTTTCATGAGTGTTTTTTTCTCCCTCTTTGATAACTCCTCACAGCTAGCTGCCGACTCCACTGCATGTAATTTCGCAGCTTCCATCTCTTGCCGTAGTGCTGCATTTTCCACCTCAAGCCTGCAGACAGTAGCATTGGCACGTTCCACCTGCCCACTAGCCTTGGACAAAGCAACATCCATTTCGATGAGCTTCTTCTTAGTGTTTTCTTCCAAACTCAATTTCTCTTTCTTAAGCCGCTCAACTTCTTCTTTCTCTTGCCTCAAAGTCTTGAGTTCAGCTTTGTCCTTACTTAGTCGACAAGCAGCCTGCATAACCTTTTGATTGGCCCACTCTGTCCATTCCTGGAGCTGATTTTGCAGTTTCTGCACTCTTGGGACGAGCTTCAGAATCATCCCATCTTTCTTATCCTGAGGGGTCCACTGCCCCAAGGATTTATCATTCGACATCCCAGAAAAGATCGAATTAGTAGCCCTGAAATGAGAAACAGTATGCACTACAGTTGAATTGCTCTTGGTGGGCAATGAGAGGGAAAGCTCCGTATTGGCAGTTGATAATGCAGGTGAACACGGGTTATTCATGGGTGATAATTCAGGTGGCATGTTTATTGGTGGAGAAGTATGATTACCATTATCTAAGCAAAATGTTGCAGAAGAAGAGGGATCTGAATTAACTGAAAGATTGTGACTCCCATTATCTTGAAGGACATCAGCTCCCATTGCCTTAGTTTTCAAGGATGCATTTTTTACATTGACAGCAGCAGATTCAGAGACTGATTTTAGTTTCTTGTCCGTGATTAAATCTCCAAAACCGTTCATTTTAGATCTCAATGACCCTTTAGATCCACATGTCCTATAGTTTTTATCCGGATGAAGTGACCTTTGCCGAAGAATATAATCTCTCTTGGAAGAGTGAATCTTTCTACCCACAAACTTCTCTTCCATTGTTGAAGACTGAGACGTTCCTGCTGCAGAGAAGGTTTTATCAGCACCGTCAGAAATGGAGTTTGTGCACTCCTTCTCCGAGACTATACCACTTAGAACAAGGGAATTCTTTGATTTTGTTGTGTCATGGATTCCTATAGATGGTACCTCAGGTAGAGAAATATGAGAACAAGTAATAGATGGAACAGGTTTACAAGGATTCGGAAGGTTCAATTCAGAAGTTTTGGTTTCTGTCTTCAATGGGGGGTGGTTGAAAGTAAAAGATCTCCCATTTGAACCTCCATGGCCAACAAAACCATTTATTAAATCACCATCCATAGCACAAGCATGTGAGACATTCATGTCACAAATTAACAAGCACCACATTGCATCCCCGATGCTGAAGAAAGGCCGAACCTCTCGAAGAACACAAACCAATTCTGCTAATATATACTTCTCCAGCTGCTGCAGATCCTCAAAACAGTGATCCCTTGAAGGATTACTATCTTGGCCACTTCTAAGATATGCTAGGGTATTATCCACTATGTTTGAGACAGTGTCTTTAGAACCATAACATAGGCCAGACCTCAAGACTGCCTTAGTAGCCACTTCTTCAGTGTAACCAGAAGCAACAATTTTCTTTATTGCACTCTTGAATATCGCATCCAAATTGCTTGAAACAAGTTCTTCCAGCTGAGATTCCGTAGGATCACTCCAATCAGCATCTTGGAACCCATCAGCATCTTGGAACCCATCAGCTTCTAGCTCCTCTCTAGATCGACTTGGCCAAACCTCGGAAGAACCTACCATGCTAGGAAATCCCAGGTCGAATTTTAATCCGTTGCAATGATCTTCGCCTACACCACACAAGTCGCATGCACTAGCCTGACCATGGTTTGGGTTGATGTCAAACTTCTCAGCACAAAATTCATAACTCGGACAACCGTTTTGAGGTGCAGTTATAATCTTATTCGGATCACCTAAGGGCGGATCAGCCCGGAACTTCCTCTTATTCCTACTACCTTTTTCTTGAATTGATATCAATGGAGACACTGGATTATTACTACTACCACTCCCTTTAAGAAACATAGATGCCATTTTTAAGCTGCATCCAAAGCAAGAACAATGTAAACTCGTTTATCAAGTTATCGACCCAGATAAAATTACAATACAAAATCCAAAAATTGAAAATAAATTCATAATCAGCTCATTAGATCAATCACTGGCAAACAAAAAGAGAAAGTATGAATAAAATCATATTATACAATCTGAAAGGGTCATATCTTCGTATCCCAATACCTCATAATCGAAATTCTCATCACAAAAAATCTAAATTCCGCAGCAAAAGGGAAAGACTCAATCGATTCAAAGAAACATAAACTATACCCGATCAATGCATTAACAAAAAACCCAGAAAGCTAAAATCGAGAAAATTGTATTCAATCAATCAATTTCCAATATTATAATCTAATATTTAAAAAGAAAAAAAAAGCTAATAGATCAATGAAAAAAATTCCAAAAAGTCATTTAAATCGAGGTAACAAGAGAGACTTTTACTTTGATTTATGATCCGATTTCGATGATTAAAAAGCAAAAGACCTTACCCGATTGAAAGCTTAATTCGATATAGCAAAAAATTCAAAGGGCGAATCTCTCAGAGCATCGGCAAAATGGAAGAAAATATATATTTAGGAGAGAGAGCTATTTTTTTTTTTTTTTTTTTGCATTGAACGCCTCTCAGTCACTCTTTCAAACATATTTTCTGTTTATTTATTTGTTTGTTTATTTATTTATAGGTAAAGTGCACAAATGGTCACTCAAGGAGAGTATTGCTTTACTAAGTAATTCAACTATTAAAAGTTATAAAATGATATTCTAACTATAAGATGTTACTTTTTTAAGTCACCCAACTATTAAAAGTCGCCTTAGGTTCGTAAGAAATTATCAGCTTGATTAGAGTTAAATATCCGTACTTCAGACTCCTACTCATACAGTATCTAGTAGAAATCAGATTTAGCAGTATCCTATAATATCAAAATCATGATCCGATAGAATATTGTAAAAATGACTATGTAGTTAATTTAAATCACATGAATGCCCTCCACCCATACACTATATGTAGTTCCCCAAAACTGCATCTATAAGGACTTACCATAGGCCCAATGGACCAAGGAGCCAACCTAAGGAAATGTCTTGGGTCCGTACGTAATTACCAGCTTGACCAGAGCTGATCCTTCATAGTCCAGTATCCTACTCAAAACAATATCTCAATAAAACGATTCACATAGTAAGCAGTGAATTCAATGGTTCATAAATCGACATAATCATATCTTCTAGTGAAAACAAATAATCACATAACATATATTAAATAGCCATGGTATATAAATTGTCACCCGTATATCAATAAATCAGTAAATCCGTCATTCCAGAATAGCCGACGTACTTGGGTCGTGATTCACCTTAAATGGCGATACAACACTTAGGTTTATCGGTGTTTCTAACATTTACCAAGGACATCCACTTATTTTAAGTCGTTAGGTTAACAAGTCGCTTTAAACAGTCGAGGTTACTTCGATAATCTTAGAGTTAAAGGTATTCTTGTTCTTTTAGGATTTAGGGTATTTTGGTCATTTGAAGATTGGAGGTTATTTTAGTTATTTCACAGTTCGAAAACATTTCGGTAATTCTGATTAATCCAAACATATCTACGTTTTCTGATAATTTGTTCAGGTATGTCCTTTCAGGTTATTTTTCACTTTTAGGGGAAATCTTGATATTTTGCAATGCAAGGGTATTTTTGTAATTTTACTCTATTAGTTATTTTTGTTATTTTAATTTTGAAAGAATACTTAATAATTTAATGATAATTTGTCCTATTCAAAATTTATATTAAATTATCATGATTTTGGATCAAATAAGGCTGAACAGATCTCAATATCGTAGTACTCACTAATCATTTGGACTGATATCCTTCAAAATATTCACTTTTCAATACTGATTACACTAGTTGAACTAGTCACCATCATACCACCAATAGCACGATTCTTGAGAAGACGAACATGTATCCCAATCATATTATTTATTTTTATATTATAATCGTATCCAGATAGACTGACGAGCTTGGACCGTGTTCCAAGACTTTTTAGAGACAATTTGATGCTAGGTTTAAGGTATTTTTCAGAGTTTATCCAAGATCATTCACTTATTCTAAGTTATTTCCACTATAAGAGGTAAACCATGTCATATTTGTATCTGAAAGATATTTTTGATATTTTACCCGGATCAATATATATATATATATATTTAGAATAGATAATATTTATTTCCAGTCCAATCATATTTATTTATGTAATGAGTGATCAACCATCCTCAACGAAATCAACTCATTCGCCCAATCATATCTAAATTTTAAAATTTTCAAATCATACCTAAAATTCAAATTTTGTTTCATTTTAAAATTTTTAAAATCATACCTAAAATTTAATTTTTGTTTCATTTTAGTATATGTTCAAAATTTAACGTTAAGTTTTGAAAATAAAAATAAAAAATTTAGATCCTAAAATGGACCAACTGATAATTTAAGTATTAACACGTTAAATATTTTACGATAAATACTAAAATAAATAAAACTAAATGTTAAATATTTTAGGATAAATACTAAAATAAATAAAAATTAAACTTTAAGTATTGAAACAATTGAAAATTTAAATATTAAAACGGATCAAAACTAATAATTTAATACTAAGTACTAAATGCATAATTTACCCTAGATTTTTTTATTATGGATATCTCGGTTCTTCCGAGAGAATATGGAAATGGAACCTGTTATTATTGAGAAAAAGTAGAACATTTCAAACAAGTTGTACATCTATGATCCATCTAGAAAACAAATGATGGACCTTTAGGAGGCGGTGGAATATCAGGAGGGAATCCGGGTGTTGGAATTTCTGGCGGTACCGATGGTGGCGGTGGGATTCCCGGCGTTGGAAGTACCGGCGGTTCAGACGGTGACGGAGGGATTCCTGGCGTGGGAAGTTCTGGCGGTACAGATGGTGGCGGCACATAATCCGGAGGCTTTGAAGGAGGATCCATTTCAGGTGGCGCCTCCCGACTCGGTGGTGATGATGGTGGGACAGGAACTACTTCAGGATCAGTTGGAGGAGGTCCCAATGGTGGCTTCGGAAAATCAGGGCCAGTGTCAGGTGTAGGACGTCCGAGTGGTGGAGGGTCGCCGGCGGTGAATTCTAATGGGGTATCGGAAGGGTCCACTTCGGTAGTCCCCTGAATCTCCAGAACATCCGTCGGCGGTGACGTATAGTTTGACCCCGAATGAACCTCCCTTGGGGCACCAAAGGATCTTTCAGCTAGTATCCGACGCCGTGGCGGCGGCGATAATTTTGTGCCGTTAGAATTTGTTGTGGTTAGCAAGATGGGTAGTTTAGTCATGTTTGATTTGAAAGAATTCATAGGGAGGGACAGTTTGAAGATACTGGTCGGAGTGGACATGTTTGGTTTGAAAGAAAATATTTTTGAGTTAAAATAAGAACACCAAGGAAATCGACATGTGTAACTACGTGTGGCAGTTTCTTTCATACGTGCATTTCATGCAAGCTTGGTGACTAGAGGTGGTATTCAGGTTAGCCGTCCGTTTAGTTTACAGGTTTTGACCGTGAGGGTTTAAACGGAGCGGTTTAAAAAGCTCGTATTCATAAACGGTTTTGAATTTTAAGGCCTGTGGCTCGTCTATTTAACTCACGGGCTAAACAGGCTTATCTGCGGCCCGTTAAATAACAACAATTTTAAATGCAATAAAAAATAATGTTCTAACTTACTACACCTTTAAAAATGATCCAACAACTTGAAAAGGAAGGTAGCAAAGTCAAAGTAATAAATAATATTCAAATTTTATTTTAAATAGTCGGAAATGATTATAAAATAATTTTTTTTATTTTTTAATCATTAATATATATATATATATATAATGATATAATTACTTAAACTCAAATTTAAAAAAATAATATTCACTTATATCACCAAATTGAAAAACAAATAAAACAATAACCACATTATAATTTTATAAAACACGATTGTTCAAGGCTATAATATGAAGACACAGAAGTGTATGCAAGCAGAAATTTAAACATAAAAATTCAACAAAATTAAATATTATACAAATTTAACAAGAAAGTTGTCAAGTGGTCCTAATAATTGTATTTTATGGATACTTTAGAGAAAAACTAAAACATAATATGAAAATATAAAATAAAATACTTACAATATATGAGTAAATTTGAAAGATACGGTTATATTAAAATTGATAAAATATAAGTCATTAATTTGTTAAAATATATTTATTTTGTAAAAGCCTTTAAAAGTCTTTAAAAGTTGAAAAATATGTTTTTAATTTTTTCTTTTACTTTTTTTTTAATCCAAATATTACGTGTCATGTGATATATTATTAGAATATCACATGACTTTTTATAATTAAAGAACGAAATGGATAACATACTTCATGAAAAAAATAAAGGTAAAAATAAAAAAAAAAATCTTTAAATACCAAAGTGATAATGATGTAAATTTTATAAGACTAAAATACTATATAAATCTTTTAATTTTTATTTTTTTAAAATGAAGAATAATTTGATACATTGTAAATGAAAAAAAATATCAAGCAGCGGTAGAATTATGACAAACGCCCTAATAACTTTAAGAACCCGCACAGGCCGCGGGTTAAATGGGTAGCCCGCGGGCCTTAGCCCATATACCCACCTCTATTGGTGACATGTAATATCGTGGGTGTACAATGTGTCTAAATTTTTAGTTTTGATTCGTTTTAATACTTAAATTTTTAATTTTTTAAAATAATAATTAATGTTTAATTTTTGTTTCATTTTAGTACATTGTCATTAAAAACTTAAACTATCTTCTCATTCCTATTTTGATACTAAAGTTTAAAACTTTTCAATTTAACTACTTAACTTTCAAATTGCTCTTATTTTCATGACTCTAATTTATTTTATTACTGATTTTTGTGATATGAAATTTATACTATTATTTTATTAATATATAATTAAAAATAAAAAAATAAATTTGAAAGTTAGAGTGATTAAATTAGGAGTAATTTAAAATTGAAGTAAATAAATTAAAAAAGTTAACCTTTAGTGACCAAAATAGAAGTGAGAAGATAGTTGAGTGATTAATGATGTAATTTACCCATAAAATAGTGCCACGTGCACATCACTCGTTAAGTTTTTAACGACGAGTCACTAAAACGAAACAAAAACTAAAAGGCAAAGAAAACCATTGCTTTCTCTCTTTTTTATTTTTACAAAGAATTAGAGAAAAAAATGGCAAAGATTGTTTTACTCATCGTTGTAGTCTCAATGATCATGATTTTTTCGATCCAATCCGTCCTCAGCGACGATGTGGTTTCACCTATATCAACAACGGAGGTTAAAGCGACCGACACATCGGTGTCGGTCGCTACCAGGTCAGCTAAGGACGATAAAAAGGAGTCATGGACCGAATGGACCAAGGGAAAGATCAGGTAAAGGAAAAAAAGCTGGGATTATCTTGATTTTGATAATTATATATAAATTCATTAATTTAAAAAAATTATATGTAACTTGTGATGTGCAATGCATTCAATGGAATGGAGAATCACATTGAAAATCTCTTTTCTTCATCACCGTCATCGGCACATACACCGACGGCTACAATCTCAGAGAAGGTTTATATATATATATATATATATATATATATATGTAATAAAATATCAAAGTGTTTTAATGTAATATATTTGCATTAATTCAATTGGTTCTCGTCCGATTCCAAAAATATTTTTAAGAGTAAATATATATAGATTAATAATACAAAAAATTTGAATTAAATGAACATATATAAAATTTCACGGTATACATTATCAATAAAATATATAATTAATCGGAAAAAATTAAATTTTAAGTTAACCAAGTATTCACCTTCGACTCTCAATGAATTTATCACATTTTTATTATATGCATTGTAGCACAATACCTATAAAATTATTTTAAATGCTTAAGGTCATGGTGAGCTCTCTTTTCATATGTGCCATGCATTAAGGGGATACCCTATTTTTGGAACATTTTACTCCCAATGTTTTAATTTTTTGTCAAAACAATCATTGTTGGATAAAAATTATTAATTTATTAACGATAAACATATATTGTTGATGTGACATATGTTATATCATTAATTTGAATTATGTGATACATATCACATCATCATTTTAGACCATTTTAGACGATGTTACATATATTATGTCATCACTTTGAGTGATGTGATACATATTACGCCAATAAAGACGTAACAGAAACTGACTAAGCCAAAATTGTTTACAACAACGTAAGGAAGGTGTCAAAGTTCTAACCAACATTAATTTCACCTTCCCATGTACTCACCGCAAATGTCTCCTCAAAAAATACTATAAATTGTCGTGATTTCGACCTCAAACCATCCATCCATTTCTCTAAATAAATTCATCTATTTTCTCTTTTCTTTTTTATTACAAAGAAACAGAGGGAAAAAATGGCAAAGATTGCTTTGGTTATTGTTTTGATCTCAATGATCATGTTTCTTTCGATCCAATCCATCGCCGGAGACATTGAAGCTTCACCTGCACCAGTAACGGAAGTTAAAGGATCCGTCGAATCGGTGTCGGCAGCTCCCGGGCCAGCTAAAGATAATGCAAAGGAGAAATCTTCGTCGTGGATCGATTGGACCAAGAAAAAGATTGCCGGTATGGAAAATAGTATTGAGAACCTCTTTTCTTCATCACCATCATCGGCACCGGCACCGGCAACCGCGACCACTGTGAAAGTTTGAGCCGATATTGTCACTGCCTAAAGGATATTTCGTATATGCAACGAAATATTAAAGCATAGTAATGTAATATATTTGGATTAATTACCGATTCTCCTTCAATTTCTTATGATTAATTTTAAACCTCTTGGACGCATGAAAAAAATTATGTTATGATCAATTTGTTAAAAATAAATTTTAAATTTAATAATGATAATGATAATGATGTTAAAAATATTAAAATTATTAAGTGTATTTTATCATGTACAATCTAAAATTATAAAATATATTCATAATTTTATATTTTTCTTTATTTTGAGTGTAAAATATTGATGGGAGTATAAAAGAGTCAAGGAATTGACGAGAAGAAAGAATTTACAAATAATTGCAAACAAAAGACCAAAATTGAGAGAAATGTAATGTTAATGGTCTAAATAAAAAAGAGAGTACATTTTTAGTAAAAAAAAAGTTATTGAATATACATAGGTATTCCATAGTGGTATATGAGCATGTGGTTCAAATTTGGTAAAAACGAACTTAAAATAAATGATGAATTGTAGAAATAATGAAATTAAGAAAATTTAAGGGACTAAATTGAGAAATAGAAAACTTGTTATCGAAAAGAAGATTTGAAAGTACATATATATTCTAGGATGGTTTAGGAACATGTGGTTCAAATTTGGTTAAAAATAGATTTAAAATGGAGGAGGAATTGAAGGAATAATGAAATCATGGACTAAACTGTAAAATTATCAAAATATATAGTCAATTTTTTTTTCGAGTAACTCGAAATTTCCAAATTTCGACTCGAACTCAAAAACCAAATTGATAATTTAAGTTGACTTGAATAACTCGAAATTATAAAAAAAAAATCAAATTTTCAAGTCGAGTCAAGTTTTGTTCACCCCTAATTACTCTAAAAAATGTAATATAAAACTTGAGGTTTACACATTTTGAACTAATTCATTTATTTTTCGGCCCGTTAAGTTCGGGTACCTGTAAAATTCGGGTATCCATATTTTTAGGTCATGGGTACATACTTCATATATTTTTTTATCCATACATAAAAAATAATGATTTGAAATTAGTTTTAAGAATAAGTATTTGGATATATTAAAGTTTATTTCTAAAAGAAAACATTAAAAATATTAATATCGATCGTAATTTTTTCTTTCAAATCTTATATTGACAAATTAATTAAAAATTTTAAAACTTAAAAAGTACATAATTCTAAGAAAATTTAGGGATTTAAATTTAATTTTACGGTAAAAAAACCTAAAATATAAAAAATAATTTAAACTAAATATATATATTAAAACTATCAGGCCAGATCGGATATCCAGTTATAAAAAATTTCGGCCTAACCCGATCCAACTACTCCATAAAATCACAGGTTGAATACCCGGGTCAGTTTAGAGTATTACTCGATTGTTTATATTAGGGTGAACTGTTTAATAGATTGGGTCAATCGAGTCGAATATTTTTTTTTAATTTCATCCTTAAACTACAATTTTCATTTTAAATTAGTCCTTAAACTTTTGAACATTCAGATTTTATCCAAAAAATTGATTCATCCTTAAACTACGACTCTCATTCTAAATTAGTCC